ATTCACATTTTTACTAGTAACAATGTAATTATTGATATCAAAAATTATATTTCTACTAGTAAAAAATCAATTCTTGATATCAAGAATTCATTTTGAATGGCAGCCTATGGTGACATTTCACTAGTGAAAATACAATTACAGATACAGTGATGTGAATAAGTTTGGACACCCATGCTAAAATTGCCTAAAAAGAGGAATAAAATCATCTTTTGGATATTGATCTTAATGCCTTAATTAGAAAAATGAGGAACACTCCAACCTTTAAGGACACCAATTTTCTTTGTGAATGAATAATGTATCATAAATAAATAAATGTTTTTCCTTAAAATACAGGGTGCATAAGTCAGGACTCAGGACACCCCTATGTTAAATTCCCATAGAGTCAGGAAGATTTTTATTTTTAAAAGCCAGTTATTTCATGGATAATATGCATCCTGATAAAGTTCCCTTGGCCTTTGGGATTAAAATATCCCCACATCATCACACACCATTAACCATGCCTTGAGATTGGCATGGGGTACTTTCCATAAGATCATCTTTCAATGCAAATCAAACCAGCTATTAGGCTAACTGAAGTAAAACCATGCCAATCTCTTGGTGTGGTGAATGGTGTGTGATGACGTGGGGATATTTTAATCCCAAAGGCCAAGGGAACTTTATCAGGATGCATATTATCCATGAAATAACTGGCTTTTAAAAATAAAAATCTTCCTGACTCTATGGGAATTTAACATAGGGGTGTCCTGAGTCCTGACTTATGCACCCTGTATTTTAAGGAAAAACATTTATTTATTTATGATACATTATTCATTCACAAAGAAAATTGGTGTCCTTAAAGGTTGGAGTGTTCCTCATTTTTCTAATTAAGGCATTAAGATCAATATCCAAAAGATGATTTTTTATTCCTCTTTTTAGGCAACTTTAGCATGGGTGTCCAAACTTATTCACATCACTGTATCAGCAATTAAATTGTTCATATCAAAAAATGTAATTGTTGATATCAAGAATTCACATCCTGGAAATGAATAAAAGCTAAAACGGCTTGCCATAACCCCCTGCATTAAAATCACTCATCATCTCGCACATCATAAATTTACTAAAACCTCAGTTTATGTGGAAACAGACTCATCCCACTGCCAATGAAAGATTTGAAGATCTGATTTTGTTCCGTTTGCGAGTCGTGTAGTTCAGCCACATTCACACAGACAAAGAAAAGCGTTCATCGAAACGGCAGGTCGCATGTTTTCCTCACCTCCACAGGAGCCATAAAGGTTACATTGCCAAAGGACGTGTTTTAATGGCCTATCTACAGTCTAGATATCACACTGCTCCAGTGACTGCACTGACCTTCAAACTTTACCTTCAGCTCTAACTACATACTAAATATATAATGCCAGAGGAAAATTATATGGCTCAGGGAACATAATGGCGTTTCACTGAAGCTCCTACTTTGATGTTTCTCTTGCAGCCACTGAGCACAGTTTGAGACATTGTTGAGTGTTTTTCTCATGCACGACACTTTGCTGATTTCGTTAACGGCATCCTGATGCGATCGCGTTATCGTAATCTTATTCGAGCTCTAATTGGGTTACGCTGAGAGCTTCAAACGGTCAACACTACGTTAACTTATTAGCTTGCTTAACTTGGTCAACCTTGTTAAATCTCTCTCATCATGATCCAGTGGGAAAGAGTTTTAGGTAACACTTTACTTGAAGGGGTGTGTATAAGACTGACATGAAAACGGTGTGTGTGAGGGTGGCGTAGCTCGTCGGACTTGGCAACTAGAGCCAGACCGATATATCGGCAGGCAGATATTATCGGCCGATATTACAACCCGTTCTCACGGGAATTCGTACGAATTTTACGAGGTGGCTAATTCATAACAATTCGTACGACCTCACTCGTACGAATTAGTACGATTTTGCTAAATCGTACATATTTTACAAATTAGCCAATTCGTATGAATTCGAACGAATGACCTACCCCTGACCCCGCCCCTAAACATAACCGTCACGTGGGTTTAGACAAATCGTACAAATTCGTATGAATTAGTACGAATTAGCCACTTTTGAATCACTCGTACGAATTGGTCGTGAGATAGGGTAGGATATTAGGCATTTTCTAAAATATCGGTATCGGCAGTTATAATGGCCGATAAATGAATATTTAAAAAATAAAATAAAAACGGACGAATCACGCTTCAACCATGTGATGAGTGTTGTCAAAAAGTGCAGGTAAAGGGATAAGCAAGCTAACATTGTAATTATAAGATATAACTGTAAGGCAATGTAGGGATTAATTATTATTTTATTTATCAGAACTTTAATATATTTTGACGTTCCTCCGTTCTGTTGTGACAATAGAAACAAGTTTCTTTTTAAAATGCATTATCATATTATTTTAATTAAAACTCATAAATAAATAACTAATGTTAGGGAAATCTGTTAATATTTTGTTGCGCGTTTCTGAAATAAAAATAGTAATAATATCGGCCGATATATCGGATTTTAAAACCAACAAGTATTTGTATCGGTATCGGCCTTCAAAATACTTTATCGGTCTGGCTCTAATAGCAACCGTAACTAAAGGGGGCGGGTCTTTGCGAACGGGCAATTCCTAGAGCGGGGGGACTCCTCGATGACATCACACACGTCGTTAAAGATGCCGAGCAATGATTGGTTGGGGGAAGCAACCAAAACATGGTGTAGTCTGAACCCTGTGACCTCACCGTGACCTTTTTTACTTTACAGGCACAAACAGGAGTCCATACGTCCCCTCGACTGCACTGAAGTACGCGGCTCTCCTCTTAAAAACACACCCTTATATACAGAGAGAGAGAGAGTGCGATAAAAAGCTGGTAAGGCAATTTCCTTCTCAGTGGATCAAAACTAATAAGTGTTGCTGTGAGTAAATCTTCAAGGATTATTCCTCAAGGAAATCTAGAATGGAAAACTGTTTTCCTGTGGTTGCGTTTCAGGCGCTGAGCTTTAGTGACGGAGCGCCTTCATTGCATTACATGTCCAAGGTTGCACTGCCTATTGATTTTCCTTTACGACACGAATAGAGTCCTCACTCAATTTGACTCGTATTGAACCAACGAGGCTCAGTTACTCCGGTACAAGTGCTTTGGAGGCTCGTGCATGCAAACATTTCCATACTATTTATAGGGATAATTGTGAATGATGATGATATCAATTGATTTATTTAGTTAAATATTAAATTTTGAATGCATTTATTCATTTAGTTGTGTTTTTATATGTACACATCATCTTATGTGGAAATATTCAAATAAATAAATGCAGAAATGCACTGCATTTATTAAGTAACTACAATTTGTAAACTTGTGTGTATATATATGTGTATAATTATTTTGCATAAATATAAATACACACACATGCATGTATGTTTAAGAAAAAAATATTTATATATAAAATATTTATATTTACATATCATATAAATTATATATAAATCTATATACAGTATATACATGAAAATATTTCTTAAATATATACAAGCATGTGTGTGTGTTTTTATATATATATATATATATATATATAATATATAATAATTATACACAGTGCACCCACATATATTATATAAACACAAACTTTTATTTTGGAATCGATTAATCGTTTAACAGCCCTAATATATATATATATATATATATATATATATATATATATATATATATATATATATAAATGAAGAGTTCAGATGCAAAAACCTCTAAATGCCATTTGAAATTTTCATCTTTAATGATGATTTTTATCAAACTTGTATATTTAAGTTCAGTAATTTCACTTAAATAAAAATTAATAGGTAATTATCATTGCCATTTAAGTGAAATTACTGAACTTAAATATACAAGTTTGATAAAAATCATCATTAAAGATGAAAATTTCAAATGGCATTTAGAGGCTTTTGCATCTGAACTCTTCACGCCTACATACATTATATTATATTATTATAATAAATGCAAAAATACTGCATTTAACTAACTATAATTTATTAACCAAATGTTATATATATATATATATATATATATATATACATACATGTCTACATAGATTATATTATATTAGGCTATATTATATTATTATAATAAATAAATGCAAAAATACTGCATTTAAATAACTAAAACTTATTAACAATCTTAAAAAAAGCATTGTGTGTGTGTGTATATATATATATATATATATATTAACTAACTGAAATTAATAAATGAATAAACAATCAATTTCTTGAATGGTATCATCATAAATTATAATTTGTAGCGCAACATTAAAAAGACACTCTTCAGCAGCGAATGAATGAATAATGTGCGGTGATTGTCTAATGCTATTATAGAAACATGATTCACGAGACGTTTGACATAAACACACCGGCTCATTGAAGGCAGAAGCATCAGTGACAGAAAACGAGACAGTGATTGATGGGCTGACGGCAGACAGAGCTGAACATATCAATTCAAAACGTCTCACTGCGTTAGTGAAACACCTTCTGTCCGAGGAGGAATCTGGAGATCTCTGTATGATTCGCATATCCGCAATATGTATCGACATGTGCTTACACTTACGTTATACTGGATGCAATTTACAGGATCGTTAAGTTACAGTCGTATTGACTTGGGTTTGAATACAGAAACAGTGTGTCCTTCCTCTCAGAAACACCGTCATGGCCGAGTAGAAGAGCGAGATCGAGAGCTGAAGGATTATAACATAAAGCTCAAAACTCGATTACACTGATAGCATCAGTACACAGTGCTAACTAACACAACACTGGCCGGTGTGCGCGCTCACACACACACACACACTTACCCTACCCCTAAATACGCATCACACAAAGATTTATGCATTTTTACATTTTCAAAAAAAACTCATTCTGTATGATGTATAAGCTTGTTTCCTCAATTTAGGCCCACAGTGACACGAGTCCCCATGAGTGTGTGATTGTGTGTGTGTGTGTGTGTGTGTGTGTGACGACAGTAATGTGCGACTCACATGTATGACGGTCCACTGCTCCACCACTATAGCGTCGTACGCAGAGTCGCTCTCCTCGCTCTCCTGGAACACAAACACACTCTCCACTGTCCTGATGAGCAGATCTGAGGAGAACAGGGGAAACAGGGAGTCAATATCCGTCCGTCTATCCGTTTCCATCCATCTATTGTTCATTTTTATCTGTCTGTCTATTCGTCTATCTATCCATCCATCCATCCATCTATCTATTGTTCATTTTTATCTGTCTGTTTGTCTATTCGTCATCTATCTATCCATCCATCCATCTATCTATTGTTCATTTTTATCCGTCCGTCTGTCTGTCTGTTTGTCTATCCATCCATCCATCCATCCATCCATCCATCCATCCATCTATTGTTCATTTTTTATCTGTCTGTCTGTCTGTTTGTCTATCCATCCATCCATCCATCCATCTATTGTTCATTTTTATCTGTCTGTCTATTCGTCTATCCATCCATCCATCTATCTATTGTTCATTTTTATCCGTCTGTCTGTCTGTTTGTCTATCCATCCATCCATCCATCCATCTATTGTTCATTTTTATCTGTCTGTCTGTCTATTCGTCTATCCATCCATCCATCCATCCATCCATCTATTGTTCATTTTTATCTGTCTGTCTGTCTATTCGTCTATCCATCCATCCATCCATCCATCCAGCTATTGTTCATTTTTATCTGTCTGTCTATTCGTCTATCCATCCATCCATCCATCCAGCTATTGTTCATTTTTATCTGTCTGTCTATTCGTCTATCCATCCATCCATCCATCCATCTAGCCATCCATCCATCTATTGTTCATTTTTATCTGTCTGTCTATTCGTCTATCTATCTATCCATCCATCCATCCATCTATTGTTCATTTTTATCTGTCTGTCTATTCGTCTATCTATCCATCCATCCATAAATCTATCTATTGTTAATTTTTATATGTCTGTCTGTCTATCTATTCGTCTATCTATCCATCCATCCATCTATCTATTGTTCATTTTTATCGGTCTGTCTGTCTATTCATCTATCTATCCATCTAGCCATACATCTAGCCATCCATCTATCTATTGTTCATTTTTATCTATCCATCTATCTATCTGCTAAATGTACAAAAGCTTAGAAAGAGGGTAGTTCTATATAGCGGAAATTCGAGGTGATAAAAAATATAACTAGTGAGAATATATGGAGAAGAGGAAGTCATTTGAAATATTTCAAAGAGTGACAGAAACCAGACAGAGAGAGACAGACTAATGAATGACCAGGCTAATTAACCAACATATCCATATTGAAATGTGAAATTCCCAGTGAAATAAATAAAGCACGAGCGACGCATTTTAATGGCCTGGTGTCCTGATTCCCCACGCGGTCCCTGCGTTAGCCCCTGTTTTAGAGAGATCTTTATATATGGGTGGATAATAAGCTCTGCTGAGTATTGAAGACGAACACCGGGGCGTCTGGGAAAGTTATTTCTGCTCAGTGTCCTCTCGTCTCATGGCCCAAGAGCTTCCTTATTACCCTCCCTCCATTTACACACTAATACTGTTTGCGCTGCCCCGTCTGCTCTGGGAGACACTCCAGATTACATTATAGGGGACTGAGGGATGGCCGACCCTTGACGGGGCCTGACGGGAAAGGGTTTTCTCGGGAAAAGGGGGGAGTGGTGCATTCTTCCATCAAAAAAACCCATTTAAGGCTGCACTTACTCAATTGAAGATATCTCACAGGCCTTTCCAACTGGGCCATTGTTCTGGCCACCGTGCATTAGATGTTCCCACTTGGGATCGTAATTGGAAAAGTCCACTCGGGAGATTGGCTCAGCTGTTGAGCTCGTCTAGTCACCTTTATTTTTATGCCGCTTTTTACAATACAGGGTGTTTCAAAAGCAGCTTTACTGAGATAACAGGAAAATAGTGTCACAGTCCAGCTTGAGTAAGGACAGTCATGGTTGATTTTTGTCGTAAAGTTCATAGGGCTGGGTATTAAGACAAATTTCACTATTCGATTCGATTTCGATTCACAAGCTTGCAATTCGATTCGATTTCGATTCAATATCGATTATTTTGGATATCAGTTACAATAAATGGCCATTTTTCTCAAGGGAATCAAATCTTTTAACTAATGCTGTAAACTATGGGAGTCTAGTTGTAGTCAATAGACTTCATTAGCCTAATATGAAGGTAATAATCAACTGTTTTGTAGCTATACAAACACTTAAATTACACTTTTATTTATTTTTATAATAAGAAGATTATATGAAATATAAACATTTAAATGGTGGCTGTCATAAAAACTTGCCAGATTTATTCAAATATGCATTAAATATTGAAGAACATTAAGATTATAATTCATATGTAATATGGTGTATATATTTAGCAAAATGCTCCTCTCTAGAGTTATTTTTTCTAGCTGACTAACGAGTTTATGTGGGTTTTCTGAGGTAAATATGACGATGACATTGATTACAAGCTGTTTAACTGACGTCTTTCTACGGTTGAAACGCTGATTGAGTGAATCAATGTGACGTGATCCGGATTTGGATAAGTTGTCCTCTATCTTTAACACACTTTCAGATGCTCGTTCATGTTTATTTGGCGCTGTGACTGGTATTATTAAGCCGTTAGAGAGATCAGCGCTGCTGCTTCTCCAGAGCGATCTCACGCCACAGCGACAAAACACTATTTATGTTTTTGAATTTCTAAAGAAAATGGATGTAATTTGAAAATTGAGACTTTGTTAAATATCAATAGTAACAAAGGACAAAGATTATTGCGATTTTTTGGATGCGCGCAGCCGCGATACAATGATCCATTCATTCTTGAAACAGGATGACTAATCGATTCTCGAGATTTAAGAATTGATATCGGTTCGTAAAAATGAGAATCGATTAGTATCGAGAAATCGATATTTATTACCCAGCCCTAAAAGTTAATTTATGTACATAAGCCAACACGATCTCATGAAAGTGTGCATCTATACCACGAGTAAAATTTCTTGTGCTTTTTATACGGCAAAAATGTTTTTTTGTGTGCATATGCTACGCACTGTAAATCTCTTGGGTAGGATTAGGTGTGCGTATTACACGCCAAAAAGTGCGCATCATATACAAGTGAAAACTGCGTATCATATACACGCAAAAAACTATTTTTTTTGGCATATAAATGGCATGAGAAATTAAATTTGTTGTATAGATGCACACTTTCATGAGATCGGGCTGATATAGCCGGTCTGGAGAAAACCGTGATGTCATCTTCCAGCTCAGTTCAGTTCTTGTATATTCAGTCCTTAAAGGAGTAGTTCACTTTTAAAAAAAACTTTTGCTGATTATTTACTCTCCCCCATGTCATCCAAGATGTATTTGGATGAAACGACCGATCGTTTCACTTGATAAGACCCTTATTCATCGTCTGGTGTCGTTTAAAGCTCTTTGAAGCTGCACTGAAACTCTCATTTGGACCTTGAACCGTTTGGACCCCATTGAAGTCCATTATATGGAGAAAAATCCTGGAATGTCTTCATCAAAAACCTTAATTTCTTTTCGACTGAGGAAAGAAAGACGTGGACATCTTGGATGACATGGGGGTGAGTAAATTATCAGCAAAAGTTTTTTTAAAAGTGAACTACTCCTTTAAAGAAAAACTAGAAAAAATCCTAGATTATTCGGCCCGTTTTCTTTAAGAATGCAATGAAATTGCGAGAACTTGCAAAAACTGTGGTTTGATGAAAAAGAGAAAAAATAGAATATTTCAGTTCTCATCATCTTTTATTTCAAGACCTTAATATAATAAACACATCAAACTTACAAAACATTGATGAGTCAAACGAGTTCTGTAGCTTTACAAAAGGAATATGCTACAACTTCTGTGTTGTATAAATGAAATATAAAAAAATAAATAAAGTGTGCTCCAGTTTTGTAGCTTTTCGATTACGTCACTTCGTAGCGTTCCCATGGCAACAGGGAGGAACGGCTGCTCTTGTGTGAAGCAAACGCAACATTTTTGAACTTTCTGCTAAGATATGTGACTTTTTGCAATGAAAATGCAAATATTTTACACATAAATCGGCAATTTATGCAGCGAAATTGCATATTTGAAAAAATGTCCCCGCATGAATATGCGGACTTCGGCTGATTACGCACTAAATTACGCACTAAATCATAATGTGATCGCATAATGGTGTTTTTCTGCAGGGACTGTATAATGGTGTTAATGCAGGCAGATCAATAATATTGTTGTAATATTAACTTAAATGTCCTCAACTAAGCGAGGCGAAAAAAGGCGACAGTGTTGAGGGACCCAAACTCCATCATTGACAGAATGGAGAAAGAGACCTCGGGAGAACCCAGACTCAGTCCCTCAGTTCTCCTGTACGATTATGATTCAGGCAGATTATAAAGATTATCAGATTGGACCAGAACATTCAGAATATTGAATAACTTATTCAGAACTCACCGTATAAGTTCTGTTCTGTGACTCTGGTCTCTATTGCTTTCCTCTATGTTGGACTTAACTTGTGTGTATTATCGTCTTCATCTTCGTGTGTGTTTACACCACCTGCTCGTGACACAGACTCCTACAGACACACTGAATGTCGGCTCAATAAGGCCCGTTCGTGGAGACTGACGGCTGAGAGATTGTGTGTTTGATGGAGAGAGACGGCTGGAACATGTGGAGTTTAGTCTGGCCAGGTCGCCCTGACTGACGGATAACGTTTAGGTTTAAGTGTGTGCCAGAGAGAGTTGCTAATGCTCAAGACAGCTGATGTATATTTTACGACGCTGGGCAGAATCAGGCCGGCGCTGACTGAAGTTGGAGGATGTGAACATGTGAATGTCAATCACTTCAGCCGAGGAACTGTAGTAAAGCTCACTTTGCAGATACTGATGTGAAAGCATTTTTGTTAAAGGTGAAGTGTTTGATTTCAAAGCCTAAAGTCTGTCTGTCTATCTATCTATCTATCTATCTATCTATCTATCTATCTATCTATCTATCTATCTATCTATCTATCTATCTATCTATCTATCTATCTATCTATCTATCTATCTATCTATCTATCTATCCATCCATCTATCTATCTATCTATATATCCATCCATCTATCTAT